CAACCCTGCTTCAGAGGGGAGGAGTAAAACTGGGCTCAGAGACTGCTGCAAATAAACTTCAAGTGGCAGTCTCCTTATCTTCAAAGTGTCCCTTCTACATGTGCCACCATAGGGACCCCAATAGGGACACGGAAGAGGGAGGCTACTGTGAAATTGACCATAGGCCTGAGTCTGGCCCTGGCAATGTTCATGCTGTGTCCGGTGCCTTCCATCCACAACCCACAGGGAAGGGGAGGGGAGGAGATGGCTAAGTTCTGTGATCAGAGATGTGGCTGCTGGTGCAGGCTATAGGGACTCAGGCATGATCTTCCATTTGGCGCACTGCCCTTCTGACTTCACTCCCCTCATGGTATAGAGGGAAGGTGAGCTGCCTTCCCCGGAGCCAGTTCTTTTCCAATCCTGCCTCCCGCCCTCAAGGCGAGCTTGCCCTGACTGGACTGCAAGGAAAACTGTGTTCTGCCCACAGAGCCAGCCAAGCTCCCCAACAAAACATTTGATGGGGGGGAAGGGGAGAAGCTGAGCTTACACTGAAGCTGGGAGGTGTAATTCCCAGCTTGGACAGCGGTACACATGCCAGTGCTACACATGCCAGTGCTACACTAGCCTATGCACTAAAAATAGCAGTGTGTCTGTGGAGGCTTGGCTTAGCTACTTGAGTACAGACATGCCCGATCTACTGGGTACGTGCCTGCACCACCTTGGCCAAGTTGCTACTTTTAGCTTTCTAGCTCAAGCAGAGCGATCATGTGTACGTCTACCTGAGCTGGAAAGGACACCTCCAGCTGCAGTGTAGATGTACCCAAGGACTCTTCCTTTTGCCTCTGACTTTTCTCAGCCTCGTTTGCTCCTTGAAATCTTTAGGAATACCAACTGCTGCAAATGCCTCCAAAGGGGAAGTGGAGCTGAAGAGACACTCTCCAGAATCCAACTGCAGTTCTGGGACACGGCTGGGAATTAGACATTGAGCTGAATTGTTAGTCTAAAACACTGAAATAAAGTCTGGAATTTCCCTTTGCACCAGCCACGGCTGGCTGCAGAAATAATTAGAGGGAACTTCAGGAGGCAGCTCTGGTTCTGCTCCAAGCAGAAAAGCAGACTAGTGTACCTCTGTAATAGATACGGGGACCTTAGCACAAAGAATAAACAGTTGTCTAACTTCAAATTGATTGCACATCTATAGCAGAGGGTAGGATTTGGCTCTTATACAGTGTAGGCAGCAGGACAGTTGTTTCGGTGCACTAGCTCTTTGTCAGCGAAGGCCTGGCTCACATGCAGAAAAGTGTTTGATGATCTCATCCTCATTCTAGTTGTACACATCACAAAGATAAACAATTGAATAAGATTAGCTGCCTCCAGAGATGTCCAGGATTAGAACAGGAGGTGGGGAGTATGTCAGGACTGAATTGCAATGGCAAAGCTATGTGGGAAATTTACACAGAACATCGATTGCACTATGAGAGGTTCAAACTAATGCCATTATTCAGAGGTACTCACAAATTTAGAAAAAATAGAGCAATCAACAGGCAAACCAGAGCCTAGATCTAGCTACAGATTTAACAGGACTGGAAGAGAATGAAAAGTCACTCCTAGGTTCTATACCACATTAATAAGTATTTACATAGCGATAATCCACTTGAGATTCATAAAACGAAGGGACTTTCTATATTGCTGTACAATATGTAACATTCCATTTTCAGCTGGAGAGAAACAAAACCCAATACAATTAAAGTACTCAATTAAAATGAGATTCATTCAAAGGGCAGGGTTTCTCTATGGAATTTTTCGCTGCCCAGTGATGCAGTAGCTATGGCAACTATGTAACACAAAGCCTCCCAAAACATACTGCAGTGGGAGTCAGAGTGTGGCTAATAAGTTTTTTGCATAAACTATTGCATATGGAGCAGTGAGTTCATGCAATCCCTTTAATGAAAGATGACTAAATAAATAAATAAGAACTCAGAATATTTTCCTGTCACAGACCTGAACTACCACTACTTCTCAACACAATCACTGAAATTTATAGAAAAGGCAGTTAGAGACTCCAAGAGTTTAATAGCCTCCCTTTACCTGTGAATGAGATGGCTGACTTTTCATGGTCATCAGGCAGAAAATAATAAACTCTCAGAGTAGAAGTTACATGAGCTCATGGCTTAACAGCCATTTGTCATTTTAAGATTAAGAGTTCTTCAGCTAGTGTTCTTGCATAAATCAGCTGCAAGTTGTTGGTGCAGAAAATAGAAGAAACCTGTTAGGGCTATCTAGTCCATCTCTTTGCTAGTGCAGGATTGTTCCCAACAGTGCATTTTGTAGTTCTTTGGCCAGTTTGCTTTTAAGTCCAAAATGTTGCAGCTTTCATCACTTCCATTGGGAGAGCTTAACAGACATCTCACCATCAAAGGAAGAAAAAAAAAATAAAGCCCCCAAAGCCCACACTGGATCAACATTAAGAAGGATTTCTAGTGACTCTGAATATAGATCATGAAAGAATTAAATACAATGAACTAGAAAATTTGAGCTCTGCTACTAACTCATGTGACTTTGGACAAGTCATTTAGCATCTGTTTTCCCATCTGTAAACTCACCTCCAGGGGCGTTGTGAAGTTTAATGTTTGTAAATTGTGTCAATATATGCAGCTAGGAGATGCTACAGAAGAGCAAAGTATTATTATTAGGTCTTGGATTTTTGACAACTTCAGCATATGCTCATATACCACCATTTGCTTTCCTAGATAAGTCAAAAATTTGTTCTGAGCAGCAGGGAAGCCTATTTTTATTTTAATAGGCATTATTTACTTGTGATTGTAAGGGTCATCTGTTCAAGAAGACACATGTAATTGAAACAAACTGGAAAGATAAAAGCTTGGGTGGAAGACTTTCATGCAATTCATCAGGTGAACTACGTACACAAGGGGGAAAAAAATAGACCCTCAGCTCTAGCCACCACAAAAAAATCAAGTGCTGATTTCAGAATGTCCCTGGGTGATGATGCCTAGTGCATAGATTGTCACACTTAACATTTTCAAAACCTTGTACAAACATTACAACAGGATGCTTCTGTTCAGTCTTCTTGTTACGTTGTTCACCCTAGCCCCCCCTCATCTGTTTATTGCCTCCACCCGTTATCTCATCTTAGATTCCAAGTTCTTTAGGGCAGTGATAATTTTCTTGTTATATAGTTGTACAGTGCCTAGCACAATGGGTCTTCAACCTGGATTGGGACCTCTATATGCTACCACAATACAACTGATGTTAAATATCACAGGAGCCCTGCATCGCTATTTAGGATGTTAGAGTCGGTCATACTGTTATAAACCAGGACACCTGTCTCATGGAGAGGGGAGGCTGGGCTTTTACAGAAGAGGGTGAAAAGACACTAGCTCCTCTGCGCATCCTAGTCACCTAGCCATTTTTACCAGTCTGTATAGAGGCAGAAAAATACAGCTGCAGCAGAATTGTTTCTATACAGATTAAAATTTACCCATGAGAGGCATCAGTGGCTCTTTAAGGCAAGTGATTTTCCATTTAATTAATGGTAACACAATAAAAATGAGTTGTTAAAGTTGATATTTCCAAGAATGTGTGTTTTTGTACAATGCCTACCATAATGGAGTCCCACTCTTGGTTGGCCCTTTGGCACTACTGTAATAAGCATGAATAATAATAAATATGTTTATATGGCAGTATCATGGATGTACACCATGTATTAACTTGTAGATAGGCCTATACATTGTTCAAGGGATTGTTTCAAACATTTCTAGCATCCCTTCTAGACATCTTTTTTTACATGGTACTTTGAAATATCTAAGATGACTTACTATGCAAACACATTTTGCCACAAAAAATATATTAAAATCAAAGCATCTCTTATGCACTTAAGTTGTCACAAGGTACAATTTACTGATTTTTAGTACTTAAACACGTAATTTCTTACAAAGTACTTTTCTTTAATGAGTGGGGATTCATTCATTCATTTCTGCTCTTTGGGACGGATCCTGTTTCCACCCAATAGCAGCAGCAAAACTTTTACTGAAGTCAGTGAGAACAGATTTATGAAAGATTACAAAGTCTTCCATAAATGCACAGAAGAAACCTTAAATGGATCAAGACAAGGTGGACTCTACATACAACTTTTCATATTATTGCTTTTCTAAGTACCAAAAAGATTATAAAGATAGTTGAACTAGCCCTACAAGAAAAATGAAATCTGCATACATTAAATATTAATTTTAATTATAGATATATGGATTCCAAGGCCAAAAGGGACAATTCTAACCATCTAGTCTGACCTCCTGTATAATACAGGCTATAGAATTTCCCACATCAAATGCCAAGAACCTATCTTGTAGAAAAAACATCCAATCTTGATTTAAAAATTGCCAGTGCTGGAGATTCCACCATGACTCTTGGTAAGTTGGTCCAATGGTTAATTACTCTTGCTGTTAAAAATTTACACCTTATTTCCAGTCTGAATTTGTCTAGCTTCGACTTTCAGTCACTGGATCATGTTATACCCTCTCTGCTAGATGGAAGAACCCATTATTAAATATTTGTTCCCCATGTAGGACTTATAGTAATCAAATCACCCCTTAATCTTCTCTTTGTTAAGCTAAATAGATTGAGCTCTTTGAGTCCATCACTATGAGGCATGTTTTCTAATCCTTTAATCATTCTTGATGGCCTTCTCTGAACCCTCTCCAATTTATTAACATCATTCTTGAACTGTGGACACCGGAATGGTACAGAGTATTCCAGAAGCGTGCCAAATACAGAGGTAAAATAACTTCCCTACTCCTACTGGAGATTCCGCTGTATATGAACCCAAGGACTGCATTAGCCTTTTTGGCCACAGGGTTGCACTTGGAGCTCACATTCAACGGATTATCTACCACAACCCCCAAATCTTTTTCCAGAGTTATTGCTTCTCAAGACAGAGTCCTCCATCATGTAAATATGGTCTGCAGTCTTTGTTCGCAGGAATTATGAATGTATAGTTCATTTACCTTGTAACTAAAAACCACGCAATCTTCTGGAAGTCAGGAGATGGCCTCATGTAAGTCTTAATGTGAGGCATAGCATGGCTGCGCCCTGAGGTTTCTGCTGACCATTTGCTGCAAAACAAAAAAAGGAATTTACTTCAAATAATAAGCTTTAGTTTTGTAGCTCCCAAAGTCACTGTACCATATAACAAGTAATTCATTTTGTATCTATGTTGGGCACATGGCTGCAGCAGCCCAAGTTTGATATATTTTCTTAGTTAGCTTGCTATACTTAAAATTCATGTTATCGAAAACAAAATTTGAAATCTCCTTCAATTACACATCTAGATACTGCTTAAAGCCCATTGCACAACTCAGTGGAAAATCGGGCATTTTTATAAATTTAAAGGAATTTTTTTTTTTTTTTTTTTTACACCACCAGATAAATTTCTTGTGTGCTCCAGGATGCCTTGAGGAAACATTCCATTCCTCCATCCCAGTTATCCATCACCAAACACTTTAAGAACTGATTCCAAACTTCCAGTCAAGTAGAAGAAGATAGCGTGCCCTTTGGAACTAGTAAATGACTTATTCCATCAGGAGTTCATTAACAGTACTTTTCATTTCTTTGGCATGTTCCAAGATTATCTCAAAGCACATTACAAAACATTAGTGAATTATGTCTCCACAATCCTGTTAAGTGGGGCAAGCATTATCTCCATTTTAATCAGTGGTGAAATGAAGGCAGAATGAGATTAAGTAATTCTCCCAAAGTTACACAAGATATTTATGATAGAGTCAGGAATGAAACCCAGATCTCCTGACTTCTGTTCCTTTGCCATAATCTAGAAGACCATCCTTCTTGTTCACTGAGCTAATATTTAACCTTTTGAGTGCTCACCTATGTCCACTTTCCTTCTGCCTCTCTCAACAAACTAATTATTGTATTTTAACAAGAGGAACATCAATTCTCTTCCATTTAAGCACCAGAATCATCCAACTACAGTAAATCCACTTAACAGCCCAAGAGACCTAGATAGATAGCGGTGTTTCTCCAAACATGAATAACTAGAGCTATCAGAAAGGGAAATGTATTGGTATGGCTAAGAATTTCCTTTGATAGGGCAGCACAGATTTTTTTGGGGGGGAGAGGGTAGATGGGAAGGAAGAGGAAGGAGAAGAGTCAAACTCTCCACTCAATTTTTTCTTTTAAACTTATTTTTCAAGTCACTTTAAAAAAAAAAGTCACTGGAGAGTTTAGTAACATGGAAAGAGAGATTGGAAAGAGGATTTTAAAAAGGATTCTGTCAACCTAAATATATTACATAACAAGGGAGAAAAACATTTTTAAAAATTGGATAACAGAACTGTAAAACCAAAGTAATTGGCAAGAGATTCTGGGCAGATGCAGTATCTGTTTAACTCATGTTTGAAATTGACTAGATTTCAAGTTGACAGTGGGGTTTTTTGGCATATTTTAAAATCCTACCAAAACAAATTCTAAACCTGACTGCAGAAGATGGGGGAAATCATTCTTTGGCAGCAAGGTTGAAAAGGAAGAAAAGACAGAGAGCACATTTCAATATAACAATAACTTGAGGGTTACTTCCTGTTAAATATCTTAGGGCAATAAACACATCTGAATCAGAATTTAGTTAGCCCTGAGTATGGTTAAAGGCTGATCTTGTGCCACCGTAACAACCTCAGCAGTGTTCAATGTGCTAAGGGCTAAATAAGGAAAGTTGAAAGGGACTAGCTTTGAGAGATTATTATAATTACTTCAAGCTGTGGTTTTATTTTTGTTGAAAGTTAAAAAAATTATGTTAAGGTGTGAATTGAAGGCTGAGGCATGCATGGCATGGGGAGGAAAGAACTTTGTGTGAACATATTTGCTTATTGGAATTACGTAATCAGCATTACAATCAACCAATTTCTGCTCTTATCCTCTTCTTTAAAAAGACTAGAGTTCTTTGTAACCCTTAGTAGCAGTTTAATTTCAAACTGGAAACCCATTCTTCCTGTCACTTTTGCCAATACTTTATCGCAGTTTCCTTTTCTCTTGAGATTTTGCAACATTTAACAGCCCATTGCTCATTTATTAGGACTCCACCTCTGTTTCATTTGGCAGTCTGCTATTCACACTGTCTTTAAGGGACATGTGTCTCATTTATATGCTGCATCAATAAAGTATAAATAAAACAGAGCTATTTTAGCAGACTGCCAAATTATCACTGCTGCATTAAAATGGGGTAGACTTCCCCACCACCACAACCCCAGGCGTTCTTTAAAATGTCAATCAATCAATACAGAGCTCCTTCAAAACAACCCTAGAACAGAAGACATACTTACTTCCTACACTTACCAGCTATTCCATCTCAGTGCCATTCAAGAATGATTTCTTACAATATATTCTGGATTGTCCTGTCCAGTCCAGTCTTACATGACTGGAGAGTTGGGGCTTCCACCACATCTCTTGGGAGATTAACTGAAACAGACTTTAGCCTTTTTTCCCTTTGCTCAGTTTCATCTCACTACTTTTAGACACACTCCTGCACTGTTCTAAATAATTCTTCCTCCTACTTAATGCTTACAATCTTTTTTCTGAAGAATTGTAGACTATTAAAAGTGTATTTTGAGATTCACCCGCATTTTTCCATGCCAGCAGATTTTAATAGCATCTCCATTTGCTCCTCATTCATTAGGGATGAGATTTTAAATGACTCAGGAGTACAAGTTGAAAGTCAACTGGACTTGTGCTCCTAATTCACTTAGGCACTTTTGAAGAATTGCATCCTTTATTTTTTCACTTCCCAAAAATTGCTTACCTGAAAGCTATAACTTCATAGTGTGCATTTCGTGATCTCATTATCTATTATTCTAAAGTCAAGTAGCTCCTGGTTTCCAGATTCCATATTTATCCAGATTCCCAAACAGTAAGTAGATAATGGATGTTTTTTCTCCAGTTGGGAGTCACTACTTTCTGATTTATGAAGCTGCCTTCTATATAATTTAGGAACCAATCTGATGATGTGTCTGTGGCTATTTCCCACCCACCACCTACCTATCTATCTATTCTCCCCAAGTACAGCATACTGCAATACAAGGCGACTAAAGAGTAGGCCTTATTTTTTTATTTTGGCTTTTCTCCTATCCTGATGGACAATAAGGTGCCACAGTCCACTTTTGTTTTTCATTCCTTGTACCCTTCCCTAAAGTATTTCTCCACCACCTCCACTGCTGTGTAGGTGCTATAAATCCTTGTGATACGTAGCATCACCCTTTCACCTTTCCTTCCCATCTCTACTGACATTCTATGTACTGTATGAAAATCATCCCATCATTTTACTTTGCCCACTAGATTCTAATCTCCATAATTTCTAGATTCTAGTAGAAGTTTTTTATTTTTCATGCTAATTCCATTGTATACGGATTTTGTAGTACAGCAGCATCTGTCTTATTTGTCAGCTTTTATTTCACAATTCCATCTTCAGCCTTGATTTGTATGTTGAAATAAATGCTAGCGCGCTTTCCTACCCCAATTGAAGAAATTAAAGATGGAGAAGACTAAATAGCCCACATACCAAAGCATCACACGCTCTTTGAACACGTACTTTGTCAAGAATTAACATTGTTAATGTGCTACAATATACTTATAATACTTCACAGAAATCTTTATAGTGTCATGCATTTTGGAGTACAAGACGATCTTTCTGTTATGGTCTAATGCAATAAATCATCTCCTAGCTACCACTTCTAATTTTTGAAAAGTTACTCTTAAGAAGGCAATTTTAATTCTACCCCAGTTTAAAAAAGTAACTGGGTTTGCCACGCATCTTATGTGTTCTACATTTCCACTACAACTATAGCTTACCTGACTAATGCATAGCCTAAAATGAAATCTGAACATCAGACCGATACAAGTTTGTGCTCTTCTAGGTTTACCAAACAAAGACCAATGAGATAATTCATCCATCAGCTAAACACAAGGAAATGAACAAAGTCTTTAAGATGATATGCCAATTAGGCAAGATCATATTATAATAGGTAGCATTATTTCAAAATGCATATCTTTGCTACAAAACAGAAGAAAACACTTATGTACTCCTTTGCATTACATGGTGATAACTCATTTGCAATTGTTATAACCACCTGCAGGGTTTCAAACGCTTGATGCTCTTTTACATACTTGTTGGATAAAAATTTTTGTGTGTTCCATTCAGAATTCATGCTTTCAAAAACAAAATGAGAAGAAAGGGCAACCACCCAAACAGAGAATTCAAAGGACTTTATATGAAAACACACAGTATATTTCATCTCTGCAAGTTAAATAGCCACTCCAGCCTCTCTAGTTTTTGGTACCAATAGGATGAAAGAAACCGGAGCCTGCTTTTTTGCATGTGATTCTATTCAGAGGGGAAGTTCAGCTAGCATAACACCATGGAACCTCCTCCATGCAAACTCTGCCCGCCCATGCATATGATTAGAGATTCATTTTCTTTAATATCAGCCCCCTGCAAATCCACCGAAATTAAGAATGATTAGTTACATAGATTTCTGCTTCATGTAATTAACCAGCCCTCCAGGGGTTGATGATCAGGCCCAGCCATGACCAGAGGAGCCTATCAGCAACACTGATGCTGATGTGAGAAGAAGTGGTGCCTGGGAAGTAGCTGAGACACACTGCTCCTCTGAGGATGCCTCAAGGTATGAGAGACTTTGGTTATTGTAGGGTTACTATGTAGGGAGGCAAACCTACTCTTCCCTCAGTTCAACAGGCCTCAAGACAGAATCTTCTACCTAATTTCATCCCCTTAACTTTTTAATGTGGAAGCGAATGACCTAGTCCAACACTAAATACTAAGAAATATGATTAAATACCAGTGCACAAATGTGATTTAATTCTCTGATGATCATACAAGGTTGGTTGATAAAGGTAACAGTGCTGATGTAGTATACTTAGACTTTTGTAACGCATTTGCATGATATTCTGATTAAAGCACTAGCACTATACAGTATCAATAGTGCACACATTAAACTGACAGAAAATAGCTAATGGGGAATCACCATCAAATGGAAATGTCCACTGGGGATTCACAGGGACTGGTAGTAGGCCTGGCACTATTCAACATTTTCATCGATGATTTAGAAATAAATATAAAATCAATGCTGTTATAATTGCAGATGGCAAAAATTGGCAGAGCAATAAATAAGGAAGACGACAAGGCAGTCATACAGAATGATCTCAACGATTTGGTAAGACTGGCTCATTCAAACAAAATTAGTTTTAGTACTGCCAAATGCAAAGTTTTATATATCTAGGAACAAGGAATGCAGGCCATACCTACATCATAAAGGGCTGTATCCTGGACAACGACTGAGAAGGATTTAGGGATAATAAGGGACAAGCAACTCAACATGAGCTCCCAGTTCAACGTTGTGGCAAAAAGGGCTCATACAATCCTTGGAAGTATAAACAGGGAAGCAGTCAGTAAGAACAAGGTGGTCATCTTACCTCTATATTGCATTGATAAGACTGATACTGCAATATAGTTCTGGTATTCATATTTTTAAAAGGATGTTAAAAATTGGAGAGGGTGCAGAACAGAGGCACAAAAATGATTTGAGGGCTGGAGAAAATGTTTTCCAGTGAGAGATTTAAAAAGCTTGATATGTTTAGCTTTTCAAAAAGAAGATTGAGAGGTGATTTGATTATAAGCCATAAGTACCTTTATGGGGAGAAAATGCCATGTATTAAAGGGCTCTTTAATCAAGCAGAGAAAAGCATAACAAGAACCAGTGACTGGATGCTGAACCATGACAAATTCAGTTTAAAAATAAGGCCTACATTTTTAAAAGTGAAGATGATTAACCACTGGAACAAACTACCACAGCAAATGGTGGATTCTCCATCTTTTGGTCTCTTAAAATCAAGACTGGACGCCTTTCTGTAAAATTTGCTTTAGCCAAACCCAAGTTATTGGGCTCTATATACAGGAGTAACTGGGTGAAATTTAATGGCCTCTGATATACAGGAGGTCAGACTAAGGCCAGAAGGAACTATTAGATCATCTAATCTCTATAAATGTATGAAGTATAAAGTACAGAACTCCAGGATTTGAACTTCAAGTATTGGATGTAACAGAACATCTTGTGTTATCATAAGGACAGACAATGGCATGAAGGGTATTCTAGTGAAGACCTTAAAGGTGTATTAATCTAGACAAAAATATAGCCCAGTGATAAAAGAGAACATAGCGAGCAGAAAAAGAAAAAAAAATAAACGCAGTCTGTATCAAAAAAGACCACCACCCTTGGAACAAACTGTACTATTTTTACAATTGCACTGAAGTGCCTGACACATGATTTTCCAGGGTCAGAAAAGTGCAGCTATGATATTAAGTGTGCACATCTCCTTCTTGTAAGCGTGTACTTCAAAGCTCATCTATTTAAATTCAGAACTGTATTACAGAACTTTGGCGTGGAGGTCTACCACAATCTGCCACACACTTTCAAAATAATGGTTGGTATTTCTAGCTTTCTTTTTGTGGGAGTACAAGTAACCATTACACCGGTAAAGGATCTCAGAGTGTTTCCTTCTCTCTATTCCTTTTCCCTTCCTTTAGAATAGTATCTGTTTATTTCTGCCAATTCCTCCATGTTGTGTCTCCAAGTCTTAGTCCCACTTATTTTTGTCAGTAAGGGAGACCCTTCCAAGACACTAATTTCGTCTCTTATTTTCTCACCCACCCCAAAGCCCCACATCACAGCAACCCTCCAGCAGCAGATTCCTCCATAGCACATCAGTATTGCTTTTCAGAATAAAGGAACAAAGAAGGTCACATGTTAGAGGACTACTAGACACTCAGACCAAGGATAAACAAAAAACTGATTGCTTCTGCACTGCATAAGTTGTCATGCAACACTCCTCAAATTCCCAACAGGAGTCGCAGCATGGACAGATTTCAGTGCAAAACCTGGGAAAAGGAGTCCTGAGGGGCCAGGGAGAGCGTGAATATCATTGTTCTAAAGACATTCTGATTAATGACAAAGGAATATTCTTTAGTGGTCACAAGTACTTTTGTATACTGCAAAGGCCTAATCACTAATGCATATAAGGTCACAGGTATTTTTAATGAGTATGTACAAACAAGGAGTTAGTAGTATGTATTTAATCTTAATTTCCATTTCACAGTATTTGAGTATTTAAATTCTTACACTAGATATTTTTAAAGAAATGTTAACTCATTTAAAGTAATTTCAGAATGAGCTTTTATTTGCAGTTCTCTTATCACAGTTCTAATAGAAGGTCTTAAAATGGAACTGAAATAAAACATTTTCTGATGTATAAATAATAGCTGGTACAAGCTGTCTGATCTAAACCTATTTATACATATTTTGTTCTCAGTCGGTGAGAATACTTTTTCATTTTTGTTTGTTTCAGAATTCTAAAGAAAAACAAGTTAAGTGCTTCTGGCTGTAGACAGAACGAAGTACATAAGCATCTGGAAAAGTGAACGACATCTGTGTCGCCATGTACAAAGAAGCCAGTACATTGCAGATGATATGCTCTACAATTTGCAAAGGAAGGGCTAACTGACATGGTACTTAAAATGCTGGTAGCTTGCCTACACTAAGGCTCTCTAGGTTGTTCCTTCTAGTGTTAAGAAGTCTGAGAAATGTTACAAAATTTCCCTAGTGCAGATAAGGCTTGATTTTTAAATTGGTGTCCCTTTAAATTCTTGGAGATAGCACAGCACTTGCATTAAAAAAATTGAACAAATGAAGAAGTCATTTAAAAGCCTCCTGCTTTCAGTCACAACACATTGCAACAAACTGCAAATCTGGTGTAAGAGTTAAATCAATAATGAATCCAATCTGAAACAGTTTTGAAATCAAAGGAATTGCATAGTTAAATCACGAACAGAGGGGCTATGTAAAAACGGTAGTTTTCTTACTCCACAGATTTGTGCATTGTGCGTAGCCTGAGTAACATCTGCTCACTATATACTGGCAAAAGTGACCACTACTTCCTCCTTACTCACTCCACTATTAACTATATTGGCTGTGCAGTGATATGGGAGCATCAGCTGGATTCTACTCTGTTTCATGCATCAGAATTAAATCCATTCCCATTTCAGAATTTTAATACTGCTGACAAGCCAAAAAGTTCCAGCTGAACTTTCAAAACCCGGTTTGCAGAGCTGGCCAAACATCAATTATTTTCATTTGTAAGTTAACAAATTTGTAACTGATAACATGGAATATCACAATGCCATTTTCAGACAAACATTTTTTAAAACTGTAATCAGCCTTGAAAGTTCCATTAATGCATTTTTCCCCATTTAAAACCATAAAGAATGTTATATCATAGTCTCTTGCAATGCACATGGAATGAAATTAGACAAATTATCAGGTAGAAAACCAAGTTCCATTGGGCTGCAGAAAGACTCTAGGCCCCTTTCCTTTTCACTTTCAAATGGAGTATTTGTACTGACAATAAATCCTTCCTCAAAGACTTCATCTGAAGTCCTGGCCCCAGTGAGATCAATGGTAAAACTCACACTGACTGCAACTGGACCAGAATTTCACAGAACATTGGTATTTTAGAACAAGTGAGGTCATAAATATGTTATATAAATAAATAAGGGTCTGGCTTGCACCATAGCTGCTGCATTGCAGTAACAAGATCTTCCTGATCCTGTTCAGACCAGCTTCAGTTGGGGCCAATATCAGAAAACTCCTGCCCAGATCTGGAGGATATGGGGCTCAGGGCAAAATAGCAGTACAATCATATCATCGTTCCAGGTCGGAAAGGAAGATTTAGACAACGTCTTAGATTTCAGTTTTAAAAGTAAATTTCTGGTGATTAGCTGACCTGGACATTTCATAACAGGATTTCATAGTGTCTGCGAGTTCTTCTGACAGAGCATATACTGAATCTCTGTGTGGTACGCAAAACACAGCTAGATTTGGAAGCAAAGAAATTGTTTAACGAGTCTAAAATCCCACAAGGCATCTGACCAATTTGCCTAAATTTGCATTCCACACCACAACGTATTATAGCAATGTAAGTTTAACCATACTGTCTGGAAATCAATGCTGTAAAGGATCAAGAGACAGTTTCACTTACTGGAAATAAGAGTGCAGCCAAAGTTGTTTCTGTGCAGTTTGTATACTGTATGGAAGAGAGCCACCAGCTCAAAAGAAAAAGAAACAACATTAAACACACTGGTATTTGATTTTTGAAAGACATTTTGAAAACAGTCCAAAAATACATTCTCAGTAAATAGTGAGGGGGTAGGAGAATACATTAGCTCCATTTTCATCTCATAAAATGTTCCTTTGAAAAACAAATCAGAAGCCTCCTGTGATACTAAATGGTTTGTCTTGTCAGAAAGAAAAAACTTAACACAAATCCCCAAACATTAAGTAACCGATTTACACCAGAAAATGAATTCAGAAATATCAGATTAATGATTCACAGTTCAATCCCTTTTTAAGATACCTCTGTGGATATTTTTCATTATTATGCCCAATGGAGCGCATAGCCCATAATCAAATCCATAGATAGATGAGCATTATTCACCTACACAAGAAACAGTGAACAAGAAAGCTTCAGCCAGGTCAGTGACCATTTTATGAGGCAGCACTTTAGAACATGGGTATCACATGCTAGACATTGAGATATGATCTTTCTGAAAACATGGTCTGTGCCTAAATTTGAAACATGCACACTGACTTCAGGAATATGGACCTGGGAAGAATGAACTTAACTGTAGAGCACAGAATGTTAAAATATCACCTGAGCAACCATTGCTACTCCTAGGATAAGTACCGTATATACTTGTTCATTAGCCCGTTCGTTCAGAAGTCAACCCCCCAAAATGGATAAGTAAAAATAGCAAAAACAGTATGACCCTTTCATAAGCCAACCCTATATTTCAGGGGTTGGAAAACTTTGGCTGCCGGCCCGTCAGGGTAAGCCGCTGGCGGGTCGGGACGTTTTGTTTACCTGGAGCATCTGCAGGCATGGAACTCCTCAGCTTCCTGTGGCCGTGGTTCACCGTTCCCAGCCAATGGGAACTGCGGAATCTTCCCGCAGCTCCCATTGGCTGGGAATGGCAAACCGCAGCCACAGGGAACTGAGGAGCTCCATGCCTGCAGACGCTCCAAGTAAACAATACGACAATGTATATTAGGTATTCAATTCAATGATTCCATAGAGTTTAAAATCATCAAATTTTGGTATAGACCCGTTTATAAGCCTCCCCTCGCTCTTTGATGCGTCACTTTTTTACTGAAAATATTCAGCTTATAGACGAGTATATATGTTATATTATTTTCCATTACGTTCCATGTCTAAGTCGTGGTTGAACACGAATCAAGCCTTCTACTATTCTTGCTTGCAAAACCCAGTGTAGAGAAGACTTTTGCATAAACACAAGCACATCCAAATCATTCAGTTTGTTGCCAGATCCCACATACCATTAAGTCATAGTTCTGACCTGGAACAGTATTCTGTATCTGACATGCTAACTGGACTAATAGATTTGTCATTTACATGCCAATACACAGAAAGCTTTGTAGTGCTGGTGTCTGAGCTCCAAAAACAAATCACAAGACTGGCTTGTTAGCCAATAACCCAACAGTCTTCCCAACACAGCCAGCAGCTTGAGGCTCATTCAGAAGAAACACCAATCACTGAAACATTTACACATTGTCTAACAATGCATTATCACAAAAACTTTAGAAATAATTTTTCTATTCATTTATTTACCAGGATATCCTTCCAAACTTTGCCTCACATTGTCCACAGTAGGGTAAATCTTAAAAAAAAAAAAAAAAAGTAATAATCAAACCAAGCTAATTGAAATAATGCAGTTCTAATAAAATATTACTAAATTTGAAATAAAGATATTAGAATCCTATTATTTTAAACACTGACTATTCTGACAAGTCATATTCCTAGCAAATTATGTGGAATAAAAGGACACACTCCTCCAGGAAAGCAAGAAAAGACTGAACACTTAACATGATACAGGAGTCTTCTTAGAATTAAAAAAAAAAAAAAAAAAAGCTATTAACTAAATTTCATTGAAATTAAACTACCCAAAGTGGAAAATTAGTTATGAACCAGTAACAAACATTCAACACTTATTCTGTCAGTTATCTTATACTGCTGCTGGGTGAATATCCATGAAATTCAGGGTTGAAATCAGCAGAGACTGCAATAAACATATTCCAAGTAATGCCCCTGAGGTCACAGCAGGCTCTTCCCTGACTGATAAGTCTATTCCTAACTTCTAGTTTACAAGACTCTGTCCTTTCTCTTATGTCTAACGATGGAGGAGTGCAAGTGACATGATACTGCCACTTGAGGAGATACACAAAGAGGGGATTATAGGATGTGGAATGAAAACAGAACACCTCACATTTTGGGGGGCAGCGGCACCCAGGAGCCGGCAAACAGGGCTGCTAACAGGGGAGTTTAAGTGGGAGTGAATCTCATTGGAGGAGAAGGAGCAGCAGGCAGAGACCACAGCAGCCATGAGCCAAGCAGCAGGGGACAGTATGCAGATGATCGCATGCAGCAGCTGTGGTATGTACATGGTCCTCGCTGGGGAGCCTGAACAAAGGTATGTGTGCATGAAATGCCGCCTGATAGACCTGCTAGAGGAAAAGATTAGAGGGCTCCAGATGCAGGTAGATACTATGGTAGAATGTAGAAGGGGATTCGAGCAGCTAATGGAGCAGAAGCTGGGTGTGGCAGAAGGAGAATGCTCAGGGGTACAGGTGGAAGCACAGGCTATGGTCTGTGAGGGGGGAAGGTCAGGGGCAGAGCAAGATCAGTGGAAGCATGTGACTGTGAGGAGCAGGCCAAGGAAAAGGAGGGCTAGTGAGGGGGGAATAGAACTCAGGAACAGGTTTGAGTGTTTGGATAACGAGGAAGAGAGGCAGCAGGTGGTAACTGATGGTGGGAGGCAGAGGAAGAAGAGAAGAGCGGCTAGTCCGATAGAGAGAGGGCAGGAGTTGATGGAGACAGCACCCATACCGGGCCCCAGTAGGATAGAGGATGGCGCTAGGGGGACTACAAGGGAAAATAGAGAGACACAAGAGGTACGACTACAGGGAACAGGGGATAGATTTGTACAGAGTACTGTCACCAGGCAAAGGCAGGTTTATGTGATTGGAGACTCCTTGCTGAGGAGGTTGGACAGGCCTGTGACCAGAGCGGACCCTGAAAACAGAAGGGTGTGCTGTCTGCCGGGCGCTAAAATAAGGGATGTGGACCTGCGGTTGAAAAGGATCCTAAAAGGAGCAGGTAAGAACCCTTTAATCATCCTTCACGTAGGTACGAATGACACAGCTAGGTTCTCGCTAGAGAGAATAAAGGGAGATTATGCCAGGCTGGGGAAGACGCTTAAGGAAGTGGAGGCTCAGATTATCTTTAGTGGGATTCTGCCTGTTCCAAGAGAAGGACAGCAAAGGGCCGACAGAATTATGAGGATAAATAGCTGGCTAAGGGAGTGGTGTTATAAGGAGGGCTTTGGGATGTATGGCCACTGGGAGGCTTTCGGGGACAGACAGCTGTTCTCACGGGATGGACTTCACCTGAGTAGGGAAGGGAATAGACTTCTGGGAGGGAGGCTGGCTCATCTCATCAAAAGGGCTTTAAACTAGGAACTTGGGGGAGACGGTTGGGAGATGTTCAGGTAATCTCCACGCCAGATTCCAACACAGAAAAGGAGTGTGAGGAGTTAAGCACAGACATAGATAGGGGTAGGGAATTGGACATAAGAAAGAGGGGGCGGATGGACAGCATGGGGTCCGTTCCAAATTGCATAACTAATGGGAGAAAGGATAGACAGCATACGGTAAGATGTTTATACACCAATGCGAGAAGCCTAGGTAACAAAATGGAGGAATTGGAGCTCCTGGTCCAAGAAATGAAACCTGATATCGTGGGAATAACCGAAACGTGGTGGAACGGTAATCATGACTGGAGTACAGGTATGGAAGGGTATGTGCTGTTTAGGAATGACCGGAAAAAAGGTAAAGGTGGGGGAGTGGCATTATATGTCAATAATGAGATAAAATGTAAAGAAATAATAAGTGATGGGATGGATAAGACAGAGTCTGTATGGGCAATAATTACACTGCATAAAAGAACTACTAGAGCCTCCCCTGAGATAGTGCTTGGGGTATGTTATAGACCGCCGGGATCTAGCCTGGAGGCGGACAAAGAACTACTTAATGTTTTTAGGGAAGTAAAAACTGATAAGAACTGTGTCATCATGGGGGATTTTAACTTCCCAGATATAGATTGGGTAACAAATGCTAGTAACAATAATAGGGCTCAGATGTTCTTAGACGTACTAGCAGATGAATTCCTTCATCAAGTAGTAAGTGAACCGACGAGGGGGGATGCCATTTTAGATTTAGTGCTGGTGAGTAGTGAGGACCTCGTTGAAGAAATGGTTATAGGGGACAACCTTGGCTCGAGTGACCATGAGCTAATTCGGTTTAAACTTAATGGAAGGATTAACAGAAATGATACTGTAACTAAGGTTTACAATTTCAAAAAGGCCAACTTTAATAAATTAAGGCAACTACTTAGGGAAGTGGATTGGGCTAACGTACTTAGGGATCTAAAGGCAGATGACGCCTGGGATTATTTCAAGCAGAAGTTGCATGAGATGTCTGAGGCCTGTATCCCGAGAAAGGGAAAACGATTAGTGGGCAGGACATTTAGACCTAGCTGGATGAGCGGGAGTCTCAAAGGGGCGATTAGGAAAAAACAGAAAGCGTACAGAGAATGGAAGAAGGGAGGGATCAGCAAGGAAACCTACCTTAGTGAGTTTAGAGCATGTAGGGAAGCGGTGAGAAAGGCCAAAAGCCGTGTAGAGTTGGACCTCGCGAGGGGAATTAAATCCAATAGTAAGAGGTTTTATAGCCATATAAATAGGAAGAAAACAAAGAAAGAGGAAGTGGGACCGCTGAAGAATGTGGATGGAGTGGAAATTAACAGTAATCTAGGCATGGCACAATATCTAAATGAATATTTTGCTTCGGTCTTTAATAAGGCTAATGAAGGGTTTAGGAATAGAGGGAGTAGGACAGAGGGGAATAGAGGAGGGGGGATAGACATTACAGTATCAGAGGTGGAAGCCAAACTTGACCAGCTAAACGGGACTAAATCGGGCGGACCGGATGATCTTCATCCTAGAATACTGAAGGAACTGGCGCGAGAAATTGCGAGCCCCTTGGCGACAATTTTTAATGAATCTGTAAACTCGGGGGTGGTACCGTTGGACTGGAGAATAGCTAATGTGGTTCCTATTTTCAAGAAGGGGAAAAAAAGTGACCCGGGTAACTACAGGCCTGTTAGTTTAACTTCTGTTGTATGTAAGGTCTTGGAAAAAATTTTGAAGGAGAAAGTAGTTAAGGGCCTTGAGGTGAATGGCAATTGGGACGAATTACAACATGGGTTTACGAAAGGCAGGTCGTGCCAAACCAACCTGATCTCCTTCTTTGAGAAAGTAACAGACCTTCTAGATAAAGGAAATGCGGTGGATCTAATATACCTCGATTTTAGTAAAGCATTTGATACGGTTCCACATGAGGAATTATTGGTTAAATTGGATAAGATGGGGATCGATAGGAAAATCCAGAGGTGGATAAGGAACTGGTTAAGGGGGAGACTGCAGAGGGTAGTGCTGAAAGGTGAACTGTCAGATTGGAGGGAGGTCACCAGTGGGGTTCCTCAAGGTTCGGTTCTGGGTCCGATTTTATTTAATCTATTCGTTACTGACCTCGGAACCAAATGTAGGAGTGGGCTGATAAAGTTTGCGGATGACACTAAGTTGGGAGGCATTGCCAACTCGGAGAAGGATCGGGATATTCTGCAGGGAGACTTGGATGACCTTGTAAATTGGAGTATTAGTAATAGGATGAGATTTAATAGTGAGAAGTGTAAGGTGATGCATTTAGGGATGACTAATAAGAATTTCAGTTATAAGCTAGGGACGCATAGCTTAGAAGTGACTGAGGAGGAGAAGGACCTCGGAGTCCTGGTTGATCGCAGGATGACTATGAGTCGGCAATGCGACGTGGCTGCGAAAAAAGCTAATGCGATCTTGGGATGCATAAGGCGAGGTATTTCTAGTAGGGACAGGGAGGTGCTGCTTCCGTTATACAAGGCGCTGGTGAGACCTCACTTGGAGTACTGTGTGCAGTTCTGGTCTCCTATGTTTAAAAGGGATGAACTGAAACTGGAACGGGTACAGAGAAGGGCAACTAGGATGATCCGAGGAATGGAAAACCTTTCCTATGAAAGGAGACTCGAGGAGCTTGGTTTGTTTAGCCTAACCAAAAGAAGGCTGAGGGGGGATATGATTGCTCTCTTCAAATATATCAAAGGGATAAATACCAGGGAGGGGGAGGAATTATTTCAGCTCAGTGCTAATGTGGACACGAGAACGAATGGATATAAACTGGCCGTGGGGAAATTTAGGCTTGAAATTAGACGAAGGTTTCTAACCGTCAGAGGGGTGAAATTTTGGAACAGCCTTCCGAGGGAAACGGTGGGGGCGAAAGACCTCTCTGGCTTCAAGATTAGGCTAGATAAGTTTATGGAGGGAATGGTTTGATGGGATTACGTGATTCTAATCAATTAGGCAATAACGGCCATCGCTGGTAAAATAAGGGTCTGGCTAGAGATTCTTGCCTGTATGCTCGGGGTTCTGCTGATCGCCATTTTTGGGGTCGGGAAGGAATTTTCCTCCAGGGTGGATTGGCAGTGGCCCTGGAGGTTTTTCGCCTTCCT